ACAACTTCTACCATTTTATCTTTCTCCCCTAGCTTCTCAGACACAAAGCATGACGGGAACCAACAAACCAGTGAAAGATTTTTCAACGTCAACAGAGTTGCCATACAACACGCAATCGTGCCAAAAACTAGCGCAGAACACATATCGCCACATTTGGTGAAATTAGGGCATATATCAGAGTTGTACCCCATAATTTATACTGATAATGGAACAAATTTTGTTGGAGCATGCAATGCACTTGCTTCAACCAATTTCAATGAAATTGCAAAAAAAAGGAGCTAATGAACGTATTATTTAGAAGTTCATTCCCCCAGGCGCTCCATGGTGGGGTGGCTGGTGGGAACGCCCCATAGGAATGATCAAAAGAATATTAAGAAACTTTCTTAGGAGAGCCTGCCTTAGTTACGAGGAAATGTATACCGTTTTGTGTAACTGTGAAGCTATCCTAAATGTCAACTTTTAACAGTAGTATCGGCTGATTCAAGTCTCACTTCCATAACACCTGGAATTTTTTACGAGAAATACAAAACTCTTCAGTGCCAAAGCTGAAACATGACTTCAATTCTAACTTTTATAAACGTAGATTGCGTTATATCCAAAATGTTAAACCAGGTTTTCAAGAAAAGATTTCGCCAGGAATATCTGGGAACTTGAAAACAAAAAGCAAAAAATTCGCTAGAAGTTATAAATTAGAAAAAGAAGATATTGTCTTAATTGGAAGCGATGACAAAACGAGATTAAATTGGCCTCTTGGTAAAATCATGCAATTATTTCCAGGTACCCGACGGTGAAAGTCGACGAGCCAGAATTAAAGTGCAAAATGGAGAGGTCATAAGAACTGTACAAAATCTTTATCCTTTAGATTTATCGACTGGCGAGGAACTTCCAATCGAAATTTCAGCGGAAGTCAACGATGCGAAAATATTTTGGTAGAGCAAACTCCAATTGATGATGTACCTGTAGAAACAAATAGAATAATCCATACTAAAATCGCCCACGATAACCAAATCAGGAAGGACAATTACAATTCCTTATCAATTGGGCTTGTGAGAACAATGTTTAATTTTTTATTATTTTGCAATAATAAAAAAAATTAAACATTTTTGGTGAGACAAATTTCAAACAAATTTGGTGAGAATTGTTTAACACATCCACCAGTTTGGAATAGCTTTCTTTTGGCAATGGTTGCCGGAATTCTAAAGGACACAATAATTGGTGCTAAATCATGCTACTTGGCAGGTCGACTGAATAATACATAAGTACCCTTAATTGCATTTACCCTTACACATTTTAGTGCTGAAATACTCATTTCAATCGTTGCAGTAAAAGAAAGAGGAACTACTGTACTTTCAAAACTACAGATTACAAACGAAATGTATATCATGAGAATTCCACTTGCTAATTATTTTACCTTTTTTTGATTTTAGTGCCAAAATTATCTGTTTCAACACAATAATCAATAAACACAAAACAAAAATTGGCTGATCTTTGGAATATGGTAACAGTAGTTTGGCGACATTTTGGAGGCGATAAAGGTTACTACCTAGGACTTTGGGAATAATGTGAGAAGTTGTTGGGAATAATGCGAGAATACTGGAGTTCCGATTACGCATTATTTTGTGTGAGGGAAATGAGAGATCATGAGATAAGTCATGTGACATTAATGGACGAATCACTGTTCTTTAATCGGAAAAGGGGGTAAATTTTTAAAAATATCTGCTGTACAGCATTAGTTTCATTCTATGTTCTGTGAAACAGTGTTGTTTAATATTTGGATCCCATGGCCCTATATAAAGTAAATCCGAAATTTTTATTCCGTTTATGTGTAATTGAAAAGAATTGCTTAATTGCGGATAAGTATGAATGTCCAACATGTGGGTATGAAATGAGATTGTGTGAAAGGAAGGATATTACAGATAGTTTGAATGGCAGTGCAAGAAATCTGGTGAAAATGGACATTTTGTGATCCGCCATGCACTCAAGATTCTGTAGAAGATTAGGTAAGTTAGTATTTTTAATTATTTGAGGATATTATTTTTATGCTTTGTTCTAAATGTAAGGAGTAAATAAATTAATTTGGTATTATTGGAAAATTGTTATTAGCAATGATTTAGTTTAAAGTAATTAGGATTGTAAGCTAATTTTTATTAATTTAATGTATGTGCTTATTTATATTTTAAGTAGTGTTTTTAATTTAATTATATTTTAATTTAATGATTGTGATTTTGAGAGTTTATTTTGTAGTATTTTGGAATACGTTTGAGTAGAAGTAAATGTGCATGGAAAGAATTTAAGTATTTGGAACCATTTTAATGTTTGTGGTAGAAATTGGTAAGTGAGGTTTATAATACGAGGGCTATCCAAAGTAGATTACGTTTTGGAATAAAAAATACAAAGTATAGGAAACAATTTTATTATATACTGAAAGCCACACTCAATACTACTTTTCTACATAGTCCCATACAAATTAAGGCATTTATCGTAGCGATGTACGAGCTTGGAAATTCCTTCGTCGAAAATTCGGCCGCCTGCACCTTCAAACCCTTCGTTACCTCTTCTTGCCTTCCATCTTGCACAAAACTTGTGGTCACCAAGCTTTTCGCTGATGATTTCGTGCAACAACTTCGCGAAATTGTGGGAAAACTCAAGAAAAGTTCCGTTATTGTGAAATTTCGATTTTCACGGACTTTAGCATCGACTTTTCGAGAGTTCGGCGGTCACTATGCTGGGTCTCCCACTTCGATCTTCGTCGTGAACATTGGTTCGGCCATTTTGAAATCTTATGACCCACTGACGCACTCCACCTTCAGTGATAATGTTTGTCCCCATACACTTCACGAAGCTGCCGATAGATTTCTATCGGTTTACAGTTTTTTGCAGTCAGAAACCTTATTACTGAGCGCACCTCGCAGCTCGCGGGATTTCAATTAACGCAGACATTTCAAACCGTCACAGTATCTGAACGGAGCACCCACGAACCTCTCACTAGCACGGCTAGATGCAGACTGAGCTGCGCAACGCTCTGACCCCAAGATGGCCACGCTAGCCCCGCCCCTAGCGGACACAGACGGAAACGTAATCTACTTCCTGGATGGCCCTCCTAGATAATTTAGAGGTAAAAGTTTTTGGATATTTTATTTATTTTATACGTGCAAATGTTCATCCTTGGAAAGGGTATATACTTTTTCGCAATCAGGTAATTTCATATATGTCCTTTTCACTGAATTTAAAGATTCACAAAATTTTCATGCATTTTCGTGAAATTTTTCGAATTTATGAGAAAAAAGTAGTGTACATGGATATAGTGAAGAGTGTGCGCAATGCCATTTTTGTGCAATTCTGGGATGTTTTTTTTAAGTAAAAATAAGTCGACGTGTACATGGTTTAATTATATTTTAATTAAATGATAGTTATTTTGTGAATTATACGTTTGTAGCAATTTGGTAAACGTGTCAGTGGAAGTAAACGTGCATGGAAATATTTAAATATTGAGACTAAGTATTTGTAACCATTTTTAATGTTTTGTTATAGATTCGTTGCTGACGTTTATAATAGATAATTTAGATGAAAAGTTTGGATATTTATTTATTTTATACGTGCAAATGTTCGTCTTTGGAAAGGGTATATACTTTTTTGCGATCGGTAATTTCATGTCCTTTTTACCGAATTTAAGATTCACAAAGTTTTTATTCATTTTCGTTAAATTTTTCAATTTATGAGAAAAAAGCAGTGTACATGGATATAGTGAAGAGTGTGCGCAATGCCATTTTTGTGCAATTCTGGGATTTTTTTAAGTAAAATAAGTCGACGTGTACATGGTTTAATTATATTTTAATTAAATGATAGTATTTGTGAATTTATGTTGTAGCAATTTGGTATACGTTTGAGTGGAAGTAAACTGCATGGTTCTAATTTAAATATTTGACACTAAGTATTTGTCAACATTTTTAATGTTTTGTATATTCGTTGGTGACGTTTATAATAGATAATTTAGAGGTAAAAGTTTTGGATATTTTATTATATATACGTGGAAATGTTCATCCTTGGATGGTATAATTTTCGCAATCAGGTAATTTCATATATGTGCTTTTTACCGAGTTTAAAGATTCACAAAATTTTCCTGCAAATTTTTGTAATTTATGAGAAAACAGCAGTTTAGATGGATAAAGTCAAGAGTGTGCGCAATGCCATTTTTGTGCAATTCTGGGATTTTTTTCAAGTAAAAATAAGTCGACGTGTACATGGTTACTGTGTATGTGCGATTTTGAAAAACGCGATTCTGCACTTTTTCCCAATTTTGCAGTTAATATTTGCCATGATTAAGCAGTTTTGTTCCATAAAATTTCTAGCATAAGTGTAATTCGGCTAGTAGATTGTTGGAAAAAGTGTTGAGTAAATAAAAGAAACATGTCTTTACTTCGTGAAGACAAAATGGTGGCGAAAAAAAAAAAAACAGAGGGTTGCTGTAGCAAAGTTGGTCGCCAAAAAATCGCTAAGTTACCGTAATCCAAAGATCAACCCAAAAATTGATGGGATAGCATATTTTGTACAATACATTTGCCATGCCATTATTTGCATTTCAGAAAGGCTAATCAAATTAGATAAGATGATTATAATTAGGTTTGCTTTTTGCTCATTCCATGAATAATAAATTAGACTGTTTTATTACTTTACAAAGTATTATTATGCATATAAAATCAATTCAGCATGCTAGTGTATATATTTTGTTTCCAGTGGGGGGGACGAGTTATAATACACCAGTATTTTCTAATATGTGCCATTCAGTCTTCCCCCCTCTCTCTCTCTTTCTTTTTTTTTTAGTACGTGCGTGTGAAGAGGTCAATATTGAGCTTTGAATTAGATTCGAAGAAATGCAATATTAATTTTAAAATCATAACAGATCTGGCATCTCGTCAAGATCTACAACTGAATTTATTTTATATTACAATATATGTGAAACAGATATAACACAGAAGTACTAAAGTACGATTAATGCTTACTTTGATATCAGAATTTTGATGCAGTTTAAAGAAGTGTTTACTTTCCTGAAGCAAATCCCACCATTCTTCCAGTGACCAAATGTCAGCATAGTCTTCATATATACTACATTGCTGGCCACAAAAGACATCGATGAAATGATGAAATAACTGAAAATATTGATATTTGAAAAATTAAATCTATATCTAATTAAATACACTAAAAACATTCCAATTTTGAACAAAGTGTATGTTACTTTTTCCATTCTATTTGATGGGCATTTACTAAGCAACTCGAAAAACACTTTGAAATTCTCTTGCTTTGAAGCCATGCCTGTTTAAAAATACTGATTTTGAGAGGATGTTTTATAAAACTTCAAATCAGGATTCACTTCTCCTCAAGATCATTGAGATACCGATAAACAAACTTACGTCACGTTATTCACAAAAGATCTTTAGTAGACAGATGTCTTGTTTTGCACACGCTAAGTCTTTCTGCTGCGGTGAGCCAAAAATCAAGTGTAGGTGCGAAGAAAAGGTACAGAGAAAATCGTTTAACACGAAACTGAAGCCTCTGAAATATTTTTTGTGTTAAAGGATATTGCAAAATATATATATATTCAACAAAATTAAGTTTATTAGAGTACATGTTATTTACATAGATATGTATACCTGCATGTATTTAATAAAAATCAATGAAAGAGAAACATCCACAAAATTTTAATTTAATACAAAATTTTCAAGTTTTTTTTTTTTTAAAACAAAACATTTGAGGTTTTGGAAAATAATCTGATATTTTTATTTGCATTAGGTTTTTAAGCATCAAATTGCCAACAAATTGTTTGATGTCGTTCATTTTGTTATTCATTTCACCATAGTAATGGTAGTTCGGTTCGAGGTTCGAATCCTGCGAACGGGCTGGCTTCATGGGCGTTTTCGTGGTTTTCCCCATGTGTAACGTGTATACGAGCCAGTTTCCCTTAGAAAGTCCTCCACGAAGGCATCCCTCCCCTTAGGCAGATAGCCCTAGTGTGCTTTGCCGTATTTCTCAATACACACCAATCATTTCACCATTGAAATGTGCGTCTAAATAACTGCGCATACTTTTCATGATGTTTCTCCTTTCGGATGACGTGGGAAGAGGAGCTGAAAGTCATTTCATTGGATTCATTTCATTTTCGTGGTCAGAATCTGCCTCAATGATATTTTCTAAGCTTTGAATAAACTCTAAGCTGCCTTTTTCTGACGTAATTGAGGCTGTATACACATTATCATCATCAACTGCAACGAATTCTTCCGATTATGCAGTATGAGAGTCTAAGAAACTTTCTCAAACATTCATTAAGTGTTGGCTTAGTTTCAATATCCTCCTTTCTCATTTCTTATAGCGTGAACCAAACTCGCTGATTTTTACATACATTGCAATGTACCCATCACCCAATTCCAAAAGCCAACTGATGACAGATGAGATGTTTTTGTGCATCGTTTGTAGAGGTGGAGGGTCAAAGTAGCTTAGATAAACAAAATTGGCTCGTGTCACAGGCTATTCCGAGGGTATTTCCGAGGGCCAAATTAGCCTCCTTTCTTCGAAGCATGCGAAGCCCCCTCTTTCGTGCAAATAAAAATAAAATACTTAATAAAATGTACTCTAATAAACTTAATTATGTTGAATATATATTTTGCAACATGCTTTAACACGAAAAAATATTTCAGTCCCCTCAGTTTCGTGATAAATGGTTTTCACTGTACACAGTAGTTTGTCGGGGCAGTTCTATTATTTCGTGTTAACCAATATTTCGTTTTAAGCGTTTTCGCGTTAAACGTATTTCACTGTCTATAGAAAGGGGGAACAGAGGAGAGAAAAGAGAGAGGACACAGACGGAACTTCTTATATTTTATACGAGTTTAAAAGGCCTGGAAGAAAAGATGGAACAAAATAAATTTAAAGTAAATGGCCATATTAATACGGAGCAGAAAGGAAAAAAATGGGCCTCTAGAAAGAAAAGGAAGAGAAGTAGAAAATTTCTTGATGTATAAATTGTGTCTATGAGTGTAGTCGAAGAGGGGGAGCTGTGTTCATTCACGATAAATATTGCCTCCCAGGTGTATGTAGTGAGTGTGTTTTGTAAAGGTGAATAGATGTGATGATGGGCGGGAATTAAATAAATAAAATAAAAAAATTGGGGTCCCGTTACAAAACAGTTTAAAACTAGTTAAGAAGTTAACTTTAGCTCTACAGTAAAGAAAAAAAACTTTGTATTTAAAAAAAAATCCTAATGTGGGAAACAAGGCAATATGTTTGTCTTTACACTGAATTAAAGTATACAAAAGACAAAGTATATATTACTAAAGTAACATTTACTGTTTACCATTTCCAACATATTCACACATTTTTCAGAAAACAGCGTCAGACGAGAACATAAATCCATGCACAGTACTAAAGCACATCAACCAAATTTAAAAAATAGGTAAATTGCAGGTTTTTATTTTTATTTAATATTTATTTTTTTGCATAATATTTATTTATTAATTTAATCTTAATAAGTTATTAACTTTGTACCAGAACAACAAATAATGACACACATACATGTAAATAGATACAACATATGTTCAAAGGTACACATGATATGGAATAAACAAAGTGTATCGAATAGTTGCACACAATTACACATAAGAATAGCATCGCTTTATTATCAAAGTGAGGAACGTGAGCAAGATTTTTAAAATCTTATTAGAGAAGTTGTGCAAAAGGGGCAACAAATGTTTTTTGAATAAAGGGAAAATTCTTATAGTTATACAGAAGTGTCTCAAACCGTTCTTGTTTGGATCTCCATACGTCGCTTGATGTCCCGATTTCGATGCCCTGATCGTCTCCAGAAAACTTGAGGCAATTTGCCTTTCAACTCACAGGAATCTATATATCGTCAGGATTGGTTAATACATGGAATGTCAGAAATCCTTCGAACAGAGGCTGAGGTAAATTTGATGAGAGGACGAAACAAATGAATTTGTATGGGAAAGGAGGAGAGAGACAGAGTGGATCCCTTTCCTGAGGTAGAGAAAAGAAAAAAAAAAAGAAAGAAAGAGCAATCCTGATGAGAACTCCCATGACCATAAGATAAAAAGGGGAGCTAAAACTTGTCTTTAGCTCAAGTATATAGCATGCTCACAGTAATTCGTACATACTTATCCAAGCAAGGTGGGGATAAATGAGATCCCTAAAACAGGGGCAGGGAAATGTGAAAGAATGTAAAAAAAAGTGCGTCTTAAAGAGAAGCTTCGGAAGAGCAGAATAATGAAACTGAGATAATTTGTATAGTGAAGGGGTGAGGGGGAAGAAGAGAGAAAGGAATAGAAAATCCATTCTGTTCTTCATTTTCTATTGAGCAAAAGAATCTGAGAGTTCTTGGTTTTCATCCAACGCTCTATCATGGGCGCGATATTCAACCCGATATATATCCTCTGGGTGCTTAATATCGTATTGAAACATTGGTTTCATGACCATCTGGAAGTTTAACGCAAGCGTAAATCTGGGTTAGCCTCAATAAGCTCCACTTCCGGCACAATAGGCTCATATTTATTAGCTCGTGTATGGTTCTTCATTAATACTGTTCTGAGTTGTGTTCATCGCGTAGGTAAAGAAAGTCCATTATATGATCTTGTAGCATGGACGAGCATATGTTCATGTGGTGTGGCATTTATTTTTGTACATAACAGTGACCGTATCGAATGCAAAACAGGTTGCAGAACACCTTCCCAACGTTCGATAACCATGTTCTTTGATTTTAGTGCCACATGGATGGTTTTCCATATCATTCCATTACACCTCTCTACTTCGCCATTTCCTTAAGGATTATATGCATTTGTGCGACTTGTTTCTATACCAAGTGAGGTTAAGAACAGCCAGCCATAAATCTCTACAAGTTATTATTATGTTCAGCTTCATTTTTGCCACATACATCATCAAGATAGGAAAAGGTTCCTGATTAATTTTTCATTTGAAATTATTTCATCAACTGTTCTTTGGAAAGAATCGACTCCATTTGTTACACCAAATTGAACAAGTAGGAATTTATATAGTTTACAATCAGCTTCAAACGCTGTATAGTGTTTCTCTGATTCTTTGATAGGAACCTGATGATAAGCACGTCGGAGATCAACTGTACTAAATATTTTATAGTTTGATACTTGTGAAATCAACTCTTCAGTTTTGGGAAGAGGGTAAGCATCAAGCTTAGTCTGCTAATAATCTATAACCTGTTAACTTCCTTCTTTAGTTAAATTAATCACTCGTAAAATGGTTGTAAAAGACAAACATTTATTTAAAGATAAGTCTTAATAACCTACACGTAACGTATTCGTAAACGTACATAACATAACAAACGTACTTACTGCTGTGATACTTCTTTGACGAAATGAAGCAATTCCAATGATGGAACACAGCAATAACTTTTATTTAACACTCAAAAAAATGGCGACATACAAACAAGAAGAGAAAACATATTCTAACATTTAAAAATAAATTACATTCTTCGTGCGAGAGTCGCACGTGGCACTCGAGTCTGGTTTCGAATATTGCCATTCACAAATAACTTAATGTTCATCTATTTAAATTATTTAAACTACAAGATTTTAATACTATTTAAAGCTGTTACAACCTCTCCCCCAACGGAGAGACTTTTTCCGAAGGGAAAAGTTCTGTTCTGTAAAATTTGACAGTTTAATAAGCTCGGCTTGCTCATTTGCTTAAAGAGCAAAGGTTATTTCTCTTATAAATTTCTAAATTTCAGGCCAAAAAATTTTAAGTTTTAAACAATACTTTTACACTACATTTAAAAAGAAAGAAATGGAGAACGTTCAAATACATTAGTTGAGCATACATTAAACAATAAAATTAATTCTAAACGTGGTTACATACACTAAGAGTTACATTACTTAATTCTACTCAGAACATCTACGTTCTTGTGCAAAGATCCTTTGCGATGAATGACCTTAAAATTATAAGGTTGTAATGAGAGTGCCCAGCGCATCAATCTAGAGTTACATTTGGCGTTGGATTGTAGCCAGACCAAAGGATTATGATCAGTTTGAATCAAGAATTCTTGCTGACCATCCAGATAAAAATGCAGTTTCTTGATAGCGTAGATGATAGCAGCGCACTCCTTTTCAGTAGTACAATAATTCTTTTCAAACTTAGTAAATTTTTTTTGCTTATATACAAGATAGGATGTTCACGTTGTTCATCATCTAATTGGCATAGTACTATACCCATGCCATTGTCTGAGGCATCGGTTTGTATAATAAACCTTTTATCAAAATCGGGAGCATACAGAATTGGTTTCTTGCATAGCAACTCTTTTAAATTTTTAAAAGCTCTGTCACATATTTCAGACCATTGTATATTTCCTTTTTTTTGTTACCCCCTTCAAAGCGTCCGTGAGGGGTGAA